AAGGAAAATACCTTTCCTTCGTACAACCAAGGGAAACAAGCTTCCCTTAACGTGTATACAACACTAAGACACTCAAGAACAAGACTCTCCTTAAGAGTGGATATGAGTAAAATATATACGCTCAAGAACAACTCAAACTTCACACAAATTGGCTCTAGAAAGCTATGGAAAACAATGTGATTTGGATGCAATGATAATATGTGTAATGTGAAGTGAATTGATGAGAAAAGCAGACCCAAACACCCCTTTTTATAGTGCCAAAATAGGCTCAAACGGACCAATGCATTAAAGGGGTGATTGGCTTGATTTATGGGATTGAAAAGATTTGGGATCTGCAGAATATTGGCTTCCCATCGATGTTTAGACTCAACCATCGCTGGTAAGCCAATTTCTCTTCAGTTTTGAAGTCAACGGTCACCTACCCATCGATGGGTACAAGCTTCCCATCGCTGGGTGGGAGGTTGACTTCCAAACAAGGAAAGAATCAACCTTTAATGACCACCAACGGTCATGCCTTCCCATCGATGGTATACCCTTACCATCACTGGGTACCCATCGATGGGATAGGCTCCCCATCGCTGGGCAAAGTCGTTCTCCCTTGTGGTAATTTTGCACCAAGGTTTGAACAGCGATGGGTAGAACTTCCCATCGCTGTTTGGCATGGTTCTGGAAATTGGTTTGGCTAAGGGACCGCTTACCCATCGATGGGAAGATCTTCCCATCGCTGGGTGGGTGGTTAGTCAAGAACCCATGGTTTTTGCCTTAACCACGGCCTAGCCAACCGATGCAAAAACCGACCGAAAAATCCAAAGTTCTCCAAAACAAAAACCAAGTGTTTAAAACACTTATTTGATGTATTTGGCTAAGAAATTAAGTAAGACACTTTAAAAACCACGTCATTTGAGTGAAAACCACGGCTAGCCAAGTTCATGCCGTTTTGAATGATTTTTGTCAAACGACCAAAAGCGAAAGATGGTTTTCAAGGTGTTTTTGTTGGAGAACCGTTTAAACATGCCAAAGAGTAAAAACCAATCATAAAAAGTTGAAAACAACTTGGTTGGTTCGGACGCCAAAAACCATAGCCGATAACCGAGAGCCGAACGCCGGTTTCTGAAACCCGAACGCCGGATGGCTTGGTTTTTGGTTTGGGCGAACACCAAGTGTTTTTAATGTTTTAAACATGTTTGAAAAACATTTTTATGATGTGAGAAATGCAATGAGAGATTTTAGCCTAAAGAGCCACGGTGTAAAGATTGGGTCGGCCTTGATCGCAATAAAGACCGACTCAACAACACTAAGTCTAATGTCTTCGTTCTTGGTCTTCTTTTAGCTCTTCTTCAACTTTTCCATTCTTCGCCTTGTATATTCATTGTTTTGACTTGATCACGGCGGTTTGGCATTATCAAAACCTGTTACTAAAACGAACACGGCTTTAGTACGAAAACTTGACAAGCCCGTGTTTCAACAACAAAAACGAACACGGCTTTAGTACGAAAACTTGACAAGCCCGTGTTTCAACAATTTCCCCCTTTTTGATAATGGCAAACGAGATGAGGTTATGCATATGAGGATTTGTTTTTAAAAAAAAAGTTCCCCTGAATAGATGCCAATTTATTAAAAAAATTACCCCTCAATTTGTGCATAACCTTGATATCTTCCCCCTTTTGACATTAACAAAAAGAATTAAAGTAAACTTTAGAATTTAAAAGTTAACTTTTATTTCTTAAAAAAAAAGGGAAATGCAGAATACAACGGAATGGAAATTTTAAAGAAAAACAATCATAGTAAGAAAGGAAAAGAAGGAAGAGTCTAGGCAGCGGCGTCCTCATCCTCGGTGTCATCGTCTTCTTCGTCGTCCTCGACGTCCATAGGATCCCCGTCGTCCTCGGTGCCCAACGGCTATAATTTTTGAATTTCAACTGCCTTCCCATCGATGGTAAGGAAGTTCCCATCGATGGGAGGGTCGCTACTGGAAGGCGAGAATAAAACAAGGCTGCCTTCCCATCGATGGTCAAACTCACCCATCGATGGGAGGGTGGCTACTGGAAATCCGAAAAGATGTTTTTTTAAAAAAAAAAAGTGTCAAACACCCAGCGAAAAGATGTCCGAAAAGAGTCCTTCACCCAGCGATGGGATAAAATACCCATCGATGGGTTAGGGTGTTCTGGAAATCCGTTAAGTATTTTTTTTAAAAAATAGAGTCAATTACCCATCGATGGGAAGAAGCACCCATCGATGGGAAGAGGGGTTCTGAAAAAAAGAAAACTTCCCTCCCAGCGATGGTATTGCTCACCCATCGCTGGTTCCCCCTGATTTCCATAATTCTTCACTTTGAACCATCCATGCAAAAAAGAATAACACTTTGGTACCCAAAGTATGTCTATGGGTCCTTGGGGGTTAGTTTACCTTTATTGCCCACACACACCCAAAATTCGCACACACACACACACAATTAAATGATTGTTTAGGAGTTACCTTGGCCAACCCATTGTCTAGTGGTTGGCGGGTTCCAGTCTACCCGAACGGAGTGCCGATATC